TAGTACGGCGGAAATTTTCGAAAAATTCACTTCTTCAAATCACATGACCTAGGTGAGTAATTCGTAAATCTAGTTTTACTTCTAAATAATTAAAAAAAAATATGTGAACATTTCTTCAAGCATATTGAACAAGACAAACATGTGTTTTCTTTAACAGTTGGTTTGTCAGCTATCTTTCCAGTAAATTATATGTATCTAACTGATATTCTATATTTGTATTTAACAAGTTAACCCATCAGTTTCGAAGACGTTTTTCAAAAAAAAGTGTTTTGTGTTTTTATGATCAAACTTTAAGTTCAGGCTAAATAAATACCTCTAAGTCTAGTTTAATATTATATCTATAAAAATGAAAAAAAAAAAATAGTTGCAGGTACTTCAGAATAACAGCTATTTACTGCAAGAAATATTAATAAGTTTACTTCTAAATAATTTAAAATATATAAGTACCGACAGTAGGCGGCAATATTAAGTCTATTTTTGTTACTGCTCTGCTGCTGTTTCTATATGACAATAAGCTGACAGTCGCTATTTCAAGTCAGTCACAAGCAAGAGTGATAAAAATTTCGCCATATGTTATATTCGTAGCATCAACCGCTTTGTTACATATCAAATATTCATTAATAACTAATACACTCACATTTCTATATAAATCGCCAATTAGAATCGCTTGTGTGCTACTTGCGTATTTCAATAGCCAAGTTCAATGGCCTGCCTCAATAATTAGGTCAATAAATGTGACATTTTATATCAGCATGGCACTGGCCCGCTGTTGACTCGGTCACAACCTCCCGTCGATTTAGTTTCACTGCTCGTTTACTGTTTACGCACCATTTAGTCCACTTGATATACCCCGCAAATCAACAATTTTTATGCTCCTACTGTGTTACATGATTTTTTTTTTTGTTTGTTTTTCTTTTTCCTTCATTTGTCATATTTTTATTTCGCAAATTCGCCGTTATAGTTATAATAAAATGCTTGGCACACACTTATTTGTTGGCAATTCCTTTGCTATATTGACTCAGCTAGTGGTAAACCGATTAAGCTGAGGTTTTCCGTTTTTCCAATGCTTTAAATTGTTTGCGTTTAAAGAAACTTAAATTAGTGATTCATTTAGGTGTTCAATATATAGTATTGTTGTTGTGAATTAGTACAAGAAAGAAAGAAAAAAATATTTATATTTATTTAGAAATATTATAAAAATTTTATGTCAATTTTTTTTAACTTTCCAAACAATTTTTTTGGCCCTTGAAACCTAACAATTTTTACTCCGGTTAAGGACCTGTGAAATTTAATTTTACGTAGTTTTTTTCCCAAAGGTCGGCCCGTTGTGAAATGGCAAGTTAGTTAGTAATTTATACAAGTGACCTCGTGCTGCCGCTTAAGTTTTTAATCTTCTCAGTTAGTTAGGTTTAACAAGCATCCGTTTAATTGCTGTGCTGACATAGTGGGTTGAGTTGACCCATGCGACGGTAAAAATATAAATTGGCTTTTAGGTTTCAGAAATATAGCCTTGAATTAAAATACTTTTTTCTTACTAATTATGAAGGTATATATACATTTACTATTCAAATATTTTATATAGAAATTTATAATTGCATAGTTTGGATGCAATTATTCCTTATACAAGTATAAAGATCAGACATTAGTTTGTGGGGTTATATCTACAAGCGAATTTCAAAAATCATCATCAATCAACTACAATACATTAATCGAAAACCTATAAAATGCTATAAGTATGCCGCAAATCATTAAGGAGAGCCATCTGTGGTTTGAAAATATTGAAAATGTGGGCGTGGCATTGCACTCTAATAGGTTTAATTTGTATATCTTCTTCTTATATTTATTCAGGCTATATTACCAAAATTTGAACAGGAAGTGCTTTTAATAGCTTTTACAAAAGTGTGATTAGTATATAAATCAAGTACTAAGGAATACAGCTCTTATTTCAGGTCTAAAAATTGTCAAAATTGGGCCATAACTGTTCAAGCCACGCACATACCGAAAATGTGAACCGCAGTGCCTATGGCTGACTTTTTACCGAAAATATCGGTCAATGTCTGAAATGAAATTCGGAGAGAATCCTTATCTGATAGCGATATGTCTGTATGTAGAAATTAGGTGAAATCGGATCAATACTTCTTTTAGCCCCCATGTACCTAATAGAAATATTTTCGAGCTTCCGGCTGACATTATACCGCATATATCGGTCAATATGTAACTTATCTTAACAAAATTGAGTGAGCTGGAGTGGGATAAGCTCGCGTGAAAACTTGCCCTAGCGCCCATATAACTAATATCGGGAATTTCAAACATCCAGTTGACTTTACTCCCTAGATATTGGTGATGATATGTGAGGTAACCTAATGAAACTCAGAGAGCAACTTTTTCACGCCTACTTGTAGCCACCAAACACAAAAAAATTATATTCTCCTAAAAATTAAAATACTGCTTTCATTGATCCCACTGTGCACCATTTGCTTTTAATATAAAAACAACTAATGAAGATTGTTGCGAGCAAGCACATGCTGCGTTTAACATAAATTGTATCTTGGCGCCAGACGTTACACTTCCCCTGCCTGTTTACGGCAAATGGTTAAGTTGTTTTGACACAACGACAGCGTATGTCATAATCTCGAGTGACTTGTTGATACGACACTGTTTGAAAGCGCATAATTTAACAGCAAATTATAAGCAAGAGAATACGTTGAGTAGCGTGTAGGTGTAGCAGAAGTGACTAAGCTGAAACTGTTGCTGGAAAATTTAATGCTGCGTTGGCAAATTAAAATTTCACTAAACGCGCTGTGAAATGAGACGATAAAGTAGCGCGTTGTGACTTGACGCCAATGACTTGTGAGCGATAAACTTTAAAAGCGATTGTAAAAGCGCAGTTACTTGCTTTTTAAGAGTATTTTTGTTGCAGTCTTTTGTAAAAGAAATTGCAACTAACAATTTTCAGCAGAACACATACTCAATTTGTGCTTGTTTCTCATGCACTTGTAGAGCTCTACGGCGTATACGTAACTTTCTGCTGAGAGGCAACATTCACTGTTTGTTGCAGTTAGCGGAATTTACTTAAGTCTGTTGGAATTAAAGTGCTTACAATTTATGTATAATCGATACTTTGTTAAACAGCTTGCTAATCAGCAAACAAAAGCGTAGACGCAGACGAGAGCGCTAGACTTGAAAGGCGCTCTTTTTCAAGGCTTGCTTCAACCTGTTAAATTAAAATTTTTGCTTTTGGAAATGAACGCGAATTGTTGTAACAACTTGTTTTCGGTTTTTTTTTTCATATAATTTAACTAATGATGTAGAAAGCGATGCTGTTTTAACCCAGCAGCCTTTTCTAAAAGTTCGGTATTACCGTGAGAAAGTAACGGCTGCCTTACAAACATACAAACCTTAAACACACTGCGCGCTGCTGTGCTCAAAACTCAGCCATTAATACTTGTATGTAAGTAAAATGTTGCAGTTAATTAAGGACAGAAAGTTTTGTAATTAACTTCAAAAGAAAGTGCAAAGAAAATGAAAGTAAAGTAAAAGTTGAAAATGATCGGCTTTAGCGCTTAGTTGAACTGAGGTTAGCTACTTGCTAAATAGCAGCGGGTTTTGAAGCCTATTCGCAAATGTGTATAAGAGGCGATGAATAAATTGGTGCAAATATTCACTTTCTGAGTATTTGTGTCAACTACAAAAGTAAGTTGTACTGCTGCTTAGTCTTAGTTGTTGTTTGTTGAGGTTTCGGCTGTTAGTAGATTTGTGAGCCCTTTAGGTTTAAGAGTGACGTTGAGTGTTGTACAGTTAAATATGCTAGATATTAGTATATGATAATGAAGTGGCTGTGGTATGAATACTTTTTCGCTATACCCAGAAAATCATTTGATAGCTGAAGAAAAGCCAAAGAACCAGAGAGAGAGAGAAACGGCGGACTAATGTAATCTTAAATATTAATAATCACCAAGTGCACTTCTGTTTCAGAAATATCTGAAATCGACAGATCATTTAACAAGTTCAGACTTCGTTAACGTTTTCAACTATTTTCGACCAATTTTTCAGATATTAATTTTTAGTTCTTCGTACAAATCATACATAATTTAAAAGCTAATGCCTGAGTGGTGTTAATCATTTTTATTTTACAACAACAAATTAGCCAATTATTTCGCAAAAAGTCGGGTTTTTCCTTCAAAGTCTCTCGGTGTTACCTGTAGTAAATTTTGATTCTAACGAATGAACATTGCTTTTTTGATTTCGGATGATTCAGCAGCAAGTTATGAGGGGCATTTAAATATTTCTTCGTGAAAAATTTATATAACACCTCTCGGATGCCATTCTTAGTAAGTAAAATCATTTCCATTGTAGTAAATTGATTTTGATAATTTGACTGTGCGCAGATGTTTTATTTGTAAAACACCAGTCATGATATGTGGCATAGTGAAAATTGTTCAAGACAAGAGCTTTTTAGTTACGACACACAATTCAAAAATCTTGATAAATTGTCAATTTTGACAAATTGGCAAGATGTTGAATTTGTCAGGTGCACAGAGTAGGGGTGTTAGTAATAAAAAAGACAAGTTAATCACAACTTTCACTTTAAAATTTCTCAATCCAGAGTTTTACAGAAATACCACTGCAATTTTTCGCTTTTGGTTGCCTGCCTCACTAAACATTTCAGTTGCCTTGCATTAGCTTGCTAATAACCTCACTGACTAAAAGTAATTTTCGCGGTTTAGTAGCTATGGAAAATAGTTTGTCGGATGTTTGCACATACGGCAAAGGAAAAATCTGGCATTTCTATTTGTTTAATAATACATTTTGTGGCATTTACCTAGCGTTAATGCCAGCTAATACAAATTCCAGCCGTCGGCATGCGAGCGGCATAGCTACACCTGCGCACACAGACACACGCAAACAAATAGATACACATAAATTCACATACACATACACACACGCATTGACATATGTTATACACCTGTTCGAAAAGTAGCGTTATGGCGCGCACTTACCATGCTGTTGTGGTCTTCGTTGCGATAATTTGCGTCTTTGCGGCGGCGTTTCCGTTTCGCTGAGACGCGGTTCGCTCGTGCAGTAAGAGCGTGCATTTTCCAGATTATACTGCTGTTGTTGCTGCTGTTGTGCCTGTGCTTGCGCGCGTCGTCGTACCTGCAGGAGGGAAGAACAGGGAATACGGTTAAAGATGATTTGTGAAAGCGTAACTGGCGAGAGAAAATTTAGAAAAATTTAAACAAGGCTATATAAGTTATATAAGTTCAGGGAAACCCGCTACTCTTATTGCTTAAAGTACATCTATTTAGACTCCGCCAATATCACCGTTATGCGATAAACCACGCAACATATAGTTTGTTGGATTATTTTGTTGTTAAAGTGTTTACGTTGTAAACTTTTACGAGTGCTCTTTCAGCGCTCTTGGTGTTATTTGCCATTTTGTTGTTACGACAGCAGCAACAATGCTTTACCGGTGCCAGTTAAGGGAGTGAGAGTACTGCGGCAACACGAGCGTATGAACGCGGCAACACATTTCGCAAGTGTTTAAAGCTGCAGCAGTTTTGCGTTTGTTTTTCTGTCAACATTGTTTTTACACAGCAAAGTTTAGTTGTTGGTGTGGTGCTGGTTTTATTTTTGTTGGTTGTACACGTTTTGTTTTACAAAGCGCGGACTTATTTTGTTGCCGCGCTTTGTTTGCGGTTTTTGCACCTGTATATAGCTGCGTTTTGTAGTCCGCGTACACAACATGAAACAAATTAACATTAGTTTTAACATAAAACGTTGCCTTGTCGGTCAAGAAGCCATCAATGAGTGTAAATTTGCATATTGGCATATATGGAAAAGGAGGCGTTTATCACGGCGTATTATCTGAATTTATCTATAAACGTAATAATGGGCAATTGAATTAATCATATGGGGTCGGCCACATTTTAATGAAATTATTTTAAAATTGACAACAATCAAAGAATATCGCCTTCATACAAATATCATACAATGTGTATATAATTATATTCTGACCTGAAATTTAAATATTTTTCATTGTACAAAATGTTATTAGTGACTCAATCTTTAAAGTAGTTGCACATCGTTGTATCAAAACTATGAAAATTAATTTATATGTACATTAGTTTCTGCCTGAATTTGTCACATATCGGTAGTACTATTGAGTCTATAAGTATGTTTTTGCGGTTTTCAACAATACTTTTTTTCACTCAAATATGTCAAACTTTGTGCATGGAAAGTGTTTTTGCGGGGAGTTCTTGTTTATTAGATTAATATGAAGAAAAGCTAAGCCGAAAGTCATCGTTTCGAAGCGTTTAAAATTATTCGTGTGTTATATGAATTGAAATCAAGAGACATTGAGAGACGATTTCGCATGTCAGAAATTGAACAGCACAAATAGAATTCGTGTTTGCATCGGTTTGTGATTGCTGATGAAGAATGAATCCATTACGACAACTCTTATCGCCAAAAAAAAGACATATACGAGTACGATACCTGCCAAATCAACGGCAAAAACGAATAATGAGCTGCTCGCTGACGGTCAAACTCTTAATTGGGACCTGTACTGTCAACAATTGGACCGCCTGAAAGAAGCAATTGCCTTGAAGCAGTCAGCTTTGGTCAATAGGAGGGGAATTGTGTTCCCTCAGGACAGCGTCAGGCTACACACATCTATAGTGACTAATCCGGACCGGCACCAAGTGATTGTGCAGCTGTATCGTGACATTATGAACTAAGCTACAGAAAGGCACATTAACAAATAACGCTGTGCATATTTGACTTAAAGAAATTATTCTAACTGTGCTAAATAAAACATTCAATTTAACGAAAAAAATTACTTTCTTTTATAGACCATTATTTATACTACCATATATTAAGATCAATATTGACTATGACTTAGAAATAAGTGTGCTCCTATGCTAAAATATTAATTATGCGCCTATTTGTAGGCAAGATTATCGAAACAACGTTAAACTTAAAGTTTAGCGCAGACACCCACCTTTATGTGGAACGACATATCATAAGAGCAGCTAAAGTCAAAAAATACTGAGTGGACTTATTGTTAAAGTAATTGAATCAAGTAGTTTACTATGTTCAGTTAAAAAAAAATAATGAAAAAAAATATATTCGAAAAATATATTTTTATTAAATTTTTATATTTATATTTTATACTGCCTTTTTTCATCTTTATATATCTCTTCTTTTTTTCAAAAAACACTTGTATAAATTGACATATAGAAAGGGTGAGGCAACTCAGCATCGCATTACAGCAAAAGGGTGAAGAAATTCGACTATATTTTATTGCTGTAATTGGTTGAAGGTACAGAATTATTCCATACATAAACCTCTACTTGTTTCTTAATCACAAAAAGGCTTTGAATTAACTTTCAAATTCTCAGACTTAGACAAATAAATAAAATCAAAGCAACTATATATGACACACATGCCTTGAGGACTCAAACATCTTATCTTGAAACATTTCATTTTAAATGCAAAATCCTTTCTTCTAAATTGACTACAGTTTTTGTGCACAAAAATGTTCAAACACAACAACAGCAAAAGCTACCTGAGCAGAAACAAAAATAAATAACGCAAGCTTCTAAATCCCACAAACAGTAATGAGTAATCTCCGTGTATAGTTGTGGTTGACTGCGCATTTTCCCCAATGCTCTCCCCGTACGCCCAGGCAACTCAAGCAAATTAATTTGTATGCAACACACAAAACCAGACATTCGATTCGTTGGCAAAGTGCGCACGTTACGCATTGGTTTACCGCTTCATTTGCCACTGACGATATGTCACACGCACACACCTGCTACAACAACACGACATAGATGAGTGGCATTAGAGGTGAGGTTCTTAAAAAGCGAAAAACAAAGAGCAACAAAAAAAAACTTAAAACATTTTGCTGCGAAACTTCGTGAGTGATATATTGCTCTAAACAGACGTGTGTGGAGTGGGGGATACTAAAGTGTGACTGAAGTTGTGGCACAGTTCATGGGTGGCAGCACTTTGTTTCCTTCGAAGTTTATGTGTTGCTTATTTCGTAATAAAGCTGTGATATCACCCGCTATTTTTTTTGCGCTCTTTGGCAACTCTTTAATACCAATCACTCAGCTGTCGTTGGCGACATTTATTTTGCAGTGATTTTTATCACTTTCATTCCATTTCATTCCATTTGTGCACTTTTGCTTTAGCTTTTGATCTCCTTATTCTCTTTCAGGAAATTGAACAGTCACTCCGACAGCAGAGCGGCAATATCAGCTTTGAGCTTGTTCACTGTGCGCTTAAAGTTGGTCAAAGAGTATTTAATTTCACTGTCAATACCATAAAGCTACTTTATTATCAGACTCGTTTATGTGCCTATACTTATTGGAATCACTAGAAAAGGTAAGCTGATAAGCTGGAAAGAGGCGGCATCCTCGTTCCACTTGCATCGGAGTGGGAACAAGCTGGTTCTCCGTTGTCCTCTTGCGTTCCAGCGCTGAACCTATGGACCTCGCGAGAATTTAGCAGGTATAGGTCAATAACCTGCTCCTGTGCGGTTGCGAGATCCTTCGCCAACAGTCGAATGCGGGAAATCCACTGAACTACTTGCTCTCAGCAAGGTTCGTCTTGCCACAATCTTAGGAGTTATTACTGAACATTGTCCATGCCGTAACCATGCGGTAAGGCCACATATTTTATCGTGCGCAAATTGTCAAAGTTGTATTGTATGGAAGAAGCTGAAACATCCAAGCACTCTCTACTCCATTGTTCAGCTTTTGAAAGAAATGTTAAATTGTTAAAATATTTTATAAGGAATTTTTAATACAACTAGATAAATAGTAGCCGCCAGATAGAAAAATATTAATAAGTATAATATATCCTCATAATATTCCAAAGAAGATTGAAAATAATAATTTTTATCTCAGTGCATTATAATAGGCACATAATTCATTTAAAATGATCAATGAACACTGCCGCTGTTTTTATGCAGCAAACAGTAAATTATTTTAACTACACAATCGATGGCACTTAAAGCTGCTGCAAGGCAAC